AAAAAACGCCCTTTTTTGTACTACGAGTTTTCGGGAGTTATCGTTTAAAACTTGTAGTCCTATCTAAGACTTTGTCAGCTCCGGCATCCGTATGCCATATTCTCAGCATTCTCTCTTATCAATTTAACGCCTTAACTTATACACTGTTATGTTAAATTTACGTTAAATACATCACTACAAAGTGTTAATTTTTGCATGAACAAGCAGTACATTACCTGCAAAAATATTTTCTGGATCTGCTTCGAGTCTGCACCTTTTGGTAGCAGTGCAAAGTTGACTATTTGTTCAGTTACCTCCATGTACCGACTTGCGGTTGGCGGCATTAAAAACATGAGAACGCGATCGATTTTTACCAATCGTTCAATGAATTAAATTGCAATTTAATGAGAGGAAAATGAGTTTCCATAGTTTCTCGGACTGATTGATCAATATTCGAGGTTATCGGTTTGGATCAAAATTAGTCAAGTATCATTCCCCATCAAAATGAAAGTGAACTTCTGCACAGATCTGGATAAAAGCGTGGTGCTGGCTAATTGTGAAAAACGCGGCTGGTCGCAAGTCGGTCCAGAAGATGAGTGGAACATTTATTGGGCCGGCACGCAAACTTGCCGCAGCTTGTTTAGCGTGGACAGCGGATATCGCATGAACGATAATCAGTCAGTATTTATTGAGCCCTTTTCCAACACATCTGCAGTTTGCACACACTTGCGTTACTTGTAGGATCATCAACCATTTTCCTAATCATTACGAAATCTCCCGAAAAGACCTTCTGGTTAAGAACATAAAGCGTTACCGGCGCGATCTGGAAAAGGAGGGAAACATTATGGCTGAAAGAGGCGACTCCAAATACCTGCACCTGGACTTCATTCCAGTGACGTTCGTTTTGCCCGCCGACTACAACATGTTTGTTGAGGAGTATCGAAAGGCGCCTCAAAGTACGTGGATCATGAAGCCCTGCGGCAGATCGCAGGGCTCGGGCATATTTCTCATCAACAAGCTGTCGAAACTGAAAAGATGGTCCAGGGAATCAAAGACCCCCTTTCAGCAACAGCTCACCAAGGAGAGCTACGTTATTTCCAAGTATGTGGCGTTTTTGTCGAGATTTTGCCGCAGCAGTGATGGTTTTTCTCATTGCCAGATACATAGACAATCCCCTACTTATCGGGGGGAAGAAGTTCGACCTCAGGCTATACGTTTTAGTGACATCCTTCCGTCCGCTCAAAGCCTATCAATTTAAACTGGGCTTTTGCCGCTTTTGCACGGTGAAATATGACTCGAGTGTCGCCGAACTGGATAATATGTATGTTCACTTAACCAACGTTTCAGTCCAGAAACATGGGGTAAGTCATTTCATGTTACGCCACACATTTGCGCAAGTTAAGGCCGGGTCACTTCTATCCGATCCGACTCCGATCATACAATCGGACGAAGATCTGAGAGCAAAATGGTACTGGACTTGCCCGATCCGTCTCCGTTTTTGTATCCGATCATGTTCCGATTTTGCTGGCTATTCGATGGGTATTTGCTATCCGATTGTCCGAAGGAAAAACGGTCCGCATTTTAGGTTGCGTCAGTGATACATTTGGTTTTTAATGGACAATATCTACAGTAAGCTGTAGCTATTTGAATATTTTGATTGGGCTTACAGAATTTTACTGATAGAAAACAAACTCAATTATTAATAATGCACATGATTCGTCGCAAGTGTTAATTTATATTACTGTTTACGCAGCAACTGCATGTAAGGACTCTGGCAAGGAATGTTGGAAAAATAACTACTAAAGTGTACATTGTGAACTGTTCATGGACATTTATTTACTACTTCAGGTTTTAATGTTTTAATTCAACCCCTCATTTTGTAGACATTTTTATTCTCTACAAATCATCTCGTTGGGCCTTCCGATTACTCCATTATTATATAATATTATAAACAAAAATCGCATCGCATTGAATTTTTGGCAATGAATTGTTAATAACTAACATATGGACCGGAAATACGAGTGGAAAACAAATCCCTATTAATCTGATTATCTTTTATATAATCGCACAATTAGTTTGC